GAATTATGGAGGGTACTACTTATCCCACCGATATTTTGTACATTCAATAATTTAGACTGTCGAAACAACTGAATTTGAATGAAAAGTTAGCATGGTCGTACTAGAGGTGTCTTGAAGCAAGTCGACAGTCACCACATACCGCGCCTTCGGGCCAGAAATATCCAAGTACACACTTCATCTTATATCATCTTCCAAGAATATTAAAGTACTTTTTTAGAAATGTGAGTGGTTTGGTGACTTCATAACAGTCTGTCTCCTGCAGTTTTTGGCTTTATATTCACAGATTACCAATGTATCTTCGGAGTCCGCGATAACGGTCTTCGTGGAAGGCGAAGTAGCTCTGTCAGGCGGCCTGGACTACGCTTCATAATGCTCCAGATGACAGCGTACGCGCGACCTAGGTACTATGCATGGCAGGGGTGGGGTGTAGGGATGACCAAACTCTCACATGTGGCTACTCGAAGCTAGGCCTTACCTAACGGCCACATCCCGGTAGCCGCTCCGACAGGCGGGTCAAATCAGGTTGAGGGTATCCGGCGCTGTGTGCGCACCCACACGCTGCGACGCTGCTTGCCCTCGCATCCGCCCCTCCCTCCCCCCACTTAAAAAGTTCTACGAAGAGCGCGACGAACCACCGCCTCGTCATCCTCAAGATGAGGCTCCGTCTGCAAACCCACAGGAGGCCACAAGAGTAGGGACAACCGGGTAAGGTAAACACTGTTCTGTTGACCTAACCTGCTCACCGCCTACATTTCAGCAGCCAGTTAGCTCAGAGAGGGGGGAGGGGTTTCGGTGTTGTGTGTGTCCCCACACCCAGTATGATTAATCCCTTCCCATACCTCTTCCGCATCTCCCCTCGCCTTCATCCCTCCCTTTCCCACTTGCCCTCTCTCTTTCCGTCATCCTCCTCCCGCTCTAGTCACTTCCCCCAAAAGTCGAGAAATCCTACGGCGAGGTCAACATGCACTCGCGCAGGCGGCCCAGGCCAATCGGGTCGTTCTCTCGCTAAACCAACAGTGGAGTTCAGCAGCCGTCTGGAACGGCTAAGCAGCCCTGTTTAAGAACAACACTGCATACCCCCGCGAGGAGGATGAGGTAGGAAAAGGTGTCCTAAACAAATGCTGGGGTCCCGACATCTGTACGCAGATCGTGGATCGCAGACTACAATACGTCCGGTCGAGACGCTCAAAACAGCAGAAACAACCCTTGTCCCCACACCCGTCCCCCTCCCTACAGACGGCTAGAGTAAGCTCGACCACTCTGGCGGCCTGAAATGTTTGTTCCATTTTAGATAATCCGAGGAGCAACCAACCGAAACGGAGACGGCGCTATTCGCTCGGGAACTAGCGCGTGGTAAGATCTGATTATGCAGCCACACATACGGGACATAATACTGTTGAGCTACCGATTGGCTTGGAGTGGGCGTAATTACGTCGACTTGGTGTTTATCTTTTCCTTCTAACCTTCCATTTGTCTGGGTTAGGGCTTGGGGGTTAGGGTTAGGGCTACGGTTAGGGGGCTATGGGTTACGGTTAGGGATTACGACGAGTGTCATATCTACGGTTACGGTTTGGCCTAGAATGAGGTCAACCCTAACCGTTACCCCATCCTTATGTCTGACCCTCACACTAACCCAAACCGTAAGACTAGCCATGCCTTTAAAGCCCAGCATACTACTGCCCTTTTGCCTTTCAGCCATATAAAGTTGTGTTATTTAAGCATAAGCTAGCCTGCCTAAATCAAGTCAGTAGTTCAGCAGTATAATCTTCATCAGGCGCCGCTGCACACCACGCGGAATGGCGTTGACCACGCGTTGTCTTTTTCGATTGACCGGTTAGATCCCTACCGCTTTTTATCCTTGACGCTTCAGCTTCAGCCCATTCAAAGTTTTATCGCACACTCTATCAACTCACTTTTTACAAAGCAATTTCACAGCCATCTCACTGACAAGTTCGTCTGCTCCACCCGTAAAATACCCTTTACCACCATTATCGTATTACTAGCCGTCAGGCTTTAGCCATTTCGGGGACGGCTGCAAAATCAGATCTAACCTAGTGCGTTCGAAGTTAACATCGCTGAAGTCAGCGAAACCCGAGTCTCTGACCAAGGGCAACTGGAGGAGGTGGGTGGTGGCTGCACTTTCTTCGGAGACGGGAGCCCACAGGGAGTGCGACGCGGGTGTCGTCTTTGCCATCCACTCCAACATTGTGGGATGACTGCCTCGTCTGCCGCAGAGCATCACTGATAGTCTGATGAGCCTCTGCCTGCCTCTTCAGGGAGGCACATTCGCCACCATCGCCAGTGTCTTCGCTCCTCAGATGAGAAGATGAAGATGCGATCGCTGGAATAAGAAATTTATTTGCCTGACGTTTCGGATTGTCACTCGAATTCATCATCAGAGACATTCGCAGATAAAGGTGAGGGTGGCACCAGTAGTGCAGTATTTATAGAAGATAGCTGCCGTTGAATCGTATGCGCACTGCAATTACCAGTTCTCGCAATCACCGCTGGGGTCGTAATTTATGCGGTGGTGGCTTGTCGGTCCGAGTCCGAGTCGTTAATTGCTGCGATTTCGTCATCCGTGCTGGATGCTGGTGTGACGATTGCTCAGCAAACTGGCTCACTGTCACCGTGATAATTGCTCGCCCGCACCCTCCCCACGTGATTGATTCTCCTGCCCAGGGAAAATTTCAGCACGGAGTAGGGTACCGGGAGGTCAGTGTGCTTGTTGCTGGATTGCGGGCCTGAGAACCATGACCCGAGCAGCTTGCGGCTCACGCGGTTGTCACCCCTTGCGAGGATTTCGGCCTCTTGAAATTTGAAAATAAGGCCGGGTCCCGTCGAGTGTGCCGCCACCTGAGAGTTAGCGTCTCCCGCCTCACTGCCACTGCGTGCTCGGCAATTCGCGTACGGAGTAATATCCCAGTTTCTCCGACGTAATTGCTTTGTCCGCAACTACACCAGATCCGGTAAACGACTCCAGACGTTTCCTGCCATGGCAGCGGGTCTTTTGGCCTCATGACTTGGCGCCTAATGGTTGCTTCCCGCCTGTGTGCAACCCCAACTGCAAGTGGAGTGAGAAGACGACTGACGGCTTCCGAGATGTTCTTCACGTATGGAAGAGCCCGCCAGAATTTGGGGCTGGCTGGATTCGGTCTCTGGTGTCCTTTTCGTATGCACTGGTTGACAAAGTTGCGCGGGTAACCATTGGCTCTCATTACCCTTCGAAGATATTGTAATTCATCAATCTTGTCTTCCATTTCACTGAAGTGCGTCTCAACGCGCCGGTATAAAGCCCTTACGCAACTGCGTTTGTGTCTGATCGGGTGGTTGCTATTGGAGTTCAGTATTTGCGTCGTATTGGTCGCTTTCCTGAACACTTTGGTTTTTAGGCCACCACAATCTTTGTGGCAGACGAGGACATCCAGGAAGGTCAACTGATTGTTTTCCTACTCCTCCATCGTAAATTGAATGTCCGGGAAGACGACGTTGATTTGTTCTTTGAACGTCAGCACCCGATCCCGTTCGATGACGACGAAGGTGCCATCCACATACCGAGCCCAGAATTTCGGTCTGTGGTGTCGGAAAATCAGCGACTCCAGCCTTTGTAGGACCGCCTCGGCTATAAGTCCCGAAACCGGCGAACCCATTCGCGTTGCCTTCACCTGCTCGCAGATTGTTCCGTCGAACGTAAAGTACGCCTTGAGACAGAACTTCAGGAGCTGGATGATTTGGGCGTGTCCGAGGCAATTCTCCGTTTCGTCGTATTTCTCTCGTAGGAGTAGTTCGATGGTATCGACTGTCAGGTCCTGCGGGATAGAAGTAAAAAGGGACGTGACATCAAAGGAAACCATGATATCGCTTGGCAGGAGACTTACTCCCTTAAGTTTCTCCAGGAATTGCGTTGACGTGCTGACTGTTGTGTTCGAATCGGAGGTCAGAAACTTGAGACGTTGGAACAGCCGCTTTGCCAGTCCGTAGGTTGGAGTGCCCTTTAGCGATACGATAGGCCGGAGAGGAGCACCCTCTTTGTGCACTTTTGGGAGACCGTAGAATCGGGCTAGGGCCGTTTCTTGTGCTCTCGCCATGCGTCGGTCGATTGGCGATATTGCACCTGAGTTCTCCATTGCCAATAGCGTCGCGTTAATCTCGCGTGTCAGCGTTTTATGGGGTTGGATTCGCATGGGACATAGGACTGACGATCCTCCAACAAGCTTTCGGCTTTTTGATTGTAGTCTGTCCTGTCCAACACGACCGTTGAACGTCCCTTGTCCGCAGGCACGATAACGAGGTGCTCGGCCTTGGAAAGCACGTCGCGCGGCCTATGAACCATGAGGAGGGAGGACACTTGGTGTCGAATGAGGTTCTACGTTTCGTCTGTCGCTCCCGTCTGGCTGAGGATTGATTCCACTGCTGCGATCATGTTGGCAGGTTTGGCATCGGCTGTGTTGAATGTGGCCTCAGGCCGTAAAACCTGCATTTGTTCCTTCGTCAGCTTCTTTGACGACAAGTTGTGCACCAGTTTGTCGTTCTTGGATGAGATTGGAGCAGGCAGCCTACGAAATTTGCTCTCTAGGGCTGCTTCGCGCGTTGCTTTATGTTCGCGGGTTCGTTCGGCCAGCCTCTGTTGAAGCAGTTTTATGCTGTCCTCGCCCATGAAATCGTAGCACCTTGCTTTCTTTTGGTCAATCGTCTGACGGTATTTGCGAATCCGTGAGTGAGAGTCTTGAAGGAGCACTCGGATCATTCGTCGGCCGTGCTGAAGTACTGCGCTTCTCGCCAGCTCTGTGTTGATCGGAGGTTTGTATGAAACGCACTTCGGCAGCACATTGTTGTCGAGACACCTGTGCAGAAATCGAATCTGAGCATATGTAGACGACTCTCAAAGGGTAAAGGTTTCCCACCGTCGAGCCAATCGGATCGCTTCGCGCCCAAACAGATTGCTGATAGAAGCAAACTGCTACCTGGAACTCGCCTGTTCACCTCTATCAGCTCCCCAGATGACCAGCCCTGACGAGACGAGGAGCAAATCCTATTACGACCTGCACGTCCTCCTGGCGACTGTGCGGAAGGTACATAATTTGTTTGATTTCAACACCCGCGTCGGCACAGATCATGCCACCTGGAGAGGAGTGCTCGGTCCTCATGGTCTCGGGAGCTTCGTTGACAATGGCCTGACCCTCCTGCGCACCTGCGCAGAGCGCCGCCTCATCCTGACCAACACTTTCAACCTACCGACGCCAGAGAAGCGATCTAGATGCATCGTCGGTCGCGACGTGGACATCTGCTGGCCTCCTTCTCAATCGCCTCAACAGCAATCGACAACAGAGCCGATGTGGCCTCCGCCGTCATCGCGGCACCATCGGCACGATCTTCACCGACCGCCAATTGCAAGCGAAGTGTCAGGAGATGCTCGCCCACCTCTACTCTACCTTCGTGAATCTGACGAAGCCTTCGACAGTTTGGATCGCGAAGGACGGCGGCAAATCATGCAGAAATTCGGCTGTCCCGAACGATTCACTCAGATTGTTCGCCAGTTCCACGATGGCATGATGGCGCGAGTCACGGACAATGGAGCTGTCTCAGATGCCTTCGCGGTGACCAACGGAGTGGAGCAGGACTGCGTCCACGCGCCTACCCTCTTCAGTCTCATGTTCTCTGCCATGCTGATGGACGCTTATCATGACAAACCACGGGCGATCCGCATCGCCTACAGGACGGACGGTCACCTCCTCAGTCAGCGAAGGATGCGCTTCCGTTCGCGTGTATCCATAACTTCCGTTCATGGACTTCTCTTCATCGACGACTACGCCCTTAACACAACGTCGCAAGAAGACATGCAAATGATCACGAAGCTCTTTTCCGCCGACTGCGACAACTTTGACACGGTCATCATCACGGAGAAGACGGTGGTTATATACCACCTGCCACCCAAAACTGCTTAAATTGCAACACGAACGACGCCCAATTGTAAGCCCTGGACAACGTCCACCGGGGCAACACCCTCTCTCACAGTACCAAAATCGACGATAAAGTTGCCCGCCGGATCACCAAATTTAGCCAAACCTTCTGCCGACTGCAGAACACTGCCTGGAATCGTCACACTCTTTACCTTAGTATCAAGCTTAAGATGTACATGGTTATCATCTTCCTGACGCCGCCGTACGGTGCGAAGACCTGGACGTAGTACAAGAAGCAGACGTAGAAACTTAACCGCTGTCACCTCAGCTGTCTTTGAGGGATACTAAAGCTGAGACGGCAGAACCAGATACTGGATACGGAAGTACTAGAACGGACAGGAATCCTCAGCATCAGTGCCATTTTGAGCCAACTGCAACAGCGCTAGCGCGGACACCTTGTGAGAATGGATGACGAACGTCCACCCAAACGGGTCTCCCATGGAGATGTCACCACGGGTTCCCGCAGGCAAGGAGGCCAAGTCCGGCACCACAAAGACACTCGGAAGGCTTATTCGAAGCGCCTGCTGATCAACCCGGCGAAATGGGAAGACAACGACCGGGGCCAACCGACGTAGAGGAGGACAGTGAAGCCAGGAGCAGTGATCTACGAAGCCAACCGCGTAACCGCCGCCAAAGCCAAACGCGAAGTCAAACTGCCTCCGCCTCGTAACGCTAATGCTCAACCGCCCACAACAGGCCCAACATCATCCGCGCCTCAACATCTGCCTCGACGGTCCCGGCCCTCACCACCAATGCAACCAATAATAACGCACCCTAGAAAACCTCACCACCACCAACACCAATGACAAGGACCCAGACCCGACTTGTCCATACTGCCACCTGCCCTTTCATCACACAGCGGCTCGGTCAGTCACTTGTGAATACATCGCAAAGAGAGTGGTGAACCAGAGCCTGTAGCACCCACCTTCACTCACTGCGTCCGCCTTAAATATCCTCAGCATCTCAGGACATTCACACACCGTATAGGCCTATTCGGTCACATGCGTATCCAAGGCAGAGGAATTCGCTGCAATATCTACCCATTCGTTACACCTTGCAAACCTGCAGTGCTTAGCTCAGTCGACTCCTCTTTGCCCAACGCGCCCACCTCCAGCACCATCACCACTTGGACGGCCCCTTACGTCCCAACCTATCCTGCCCACATTGTCCCCGCACATTCACCTCACACATCGGTTTGGTCAGTCACTTGCGAAGCTATTGCAGGGAGAACGGTGAACCGGTGTCCGGTTCACCAACATACACAAGTCACGGTAGCCTCAATTACTCACATCACCCACTCACCTTCAGCTACCTCATCGGTCTACTAGACCACATGCGCACTCACGAAAGCCTGCGGAAGACCACTGCCGGCCTTACCACATCATCACATATTTCCCCACCAGCATCTACGACACACATCAATATCGTCCATCACCATACAACGCAAAGCACGCCTGTGCCCCTTATCCAAGTGGCAACTCTGCTGCAGGTGTGATCCGAGATTGCCAAGGATCGTAGCTTGGAAGGTTATGGACTGACGCACCAAATCAATCCACACAGTCTGCTTAGATAAGTGTGTTTGTGAGGAGTAGCGGACTGGTGGGTCCAGACTCAGGCTGCAATGGCTCCTTTTAATATGGCATTTATGGGATCCCATCCTAGTGGGATGCGAGTTGGGTGCGGCGGTGTGCCAAGAGGCGGCTCCGGCCGCGTCAGTCACCTGCCCCCTTTCCCATCTTCGACCTTCTTGACTGTGTCTTGACACCGGGGTCAGATGGGGGAGAAAGAGGGATCGCGGCAGATTCTGCGCAAGTCCACTCTTATCATAAGCAAATCTTTGCGTAAGTCATCGTGTCTGCTTTCACCTTCATGCGGAGCACACGGTGGATATCGTCGGCAACGACGGTCGAGCTGTCAGTTGGGAATCCAAGAGAATTTACCAGTAACGTCAAATGGAGGACAACCATGTAGCAGCTATGCTTATTCTCATTTCATCATGCGTCCCGGCGCACTACTGTTTTACGTTCCCATTGGAAAATTCAGGATCGACCATTGACTTTTTATACTGTCACATTCGACAAGAAGTTTCTCGCAAACCAACGCTGCCAAATATTCTAAATAGGATGAGATAATATGAATAAGACTCACCATAATCACAAAGTGAACATAAAAACGATCGGCTGTTATGCTATATGACAAATTTCCCCATCCACTTGAAAATCTGAAAACGTATTGTTAGAAGTTAGCGTATTTTTATGTCCTAAACAAAACCACCGCCAGAGGACAACTTCTACATAGACATCAATTTAAAATGGCACAATTTCTAACTGCCTCCTAAGACCTGTAATAAATCGAGTCATATGCTCATAAATAAGGGAATCTCATTAAGAAGAATATTGTTTGTATTTCTGGAATAAAATGGGAATAAGACCAGTCCGAGAACCCGGTCACTAAGCACAATCTACTAACGTGGACGTGAATGCGTTTGTGCAATGGTAACTGTTTCTTCAATGTCCTCGTTAACTGGCTGATCAGCGCAATGTGCTGGCGACTCCGGTAGGAGAAGGAAGAGCAGGAGCAGGGGCAGGAGGATGTAGAAAAAAAGAAGAAGATGACAGGGACACCGATAAGGCAGTTGTTCAGTGACTCCTGAGTTCGTCAATCGACGATGGGGAGACTGGTTTTATGGTCGTTACGGCCTGGTGACACCGTGATACAGACTCATATTTCGCATTTCACCAAATCACCGCGCTGGGACGTGGCTCGTGCGTGCGCTCACTCCCTGCGCTGACAAGCAACAACCACGGCATGCTGTCGTTATGATAGAACTTTTGCTGTCGCCGCCTCCATAGCCAGGTCCGAAGCTGTCGTGACAATAAAGTCTTCGAATATTTTTTCGGGAAGTTTCGTGCTAAACAATAAGTGGCTCAGTACCAATGCTAATCTTCCTAATTTCCTATCTTCTTCAGAGTCATGTGACGACAATGTTAAATGAAATATACTGATACTAATTACACGTCCGCCCAACCATCATGAATGACGGTGTCCACCGCGTGCCTCACAGCGTGGAGACCTCGGAACGATGATTTGCGCGTGAATTGGTTTGGCGATAATAAACTGGTGCTGAATCTTGAGCAATCTCTCCTCCCCCACCTATATGAGCTCGGTGGTACATCGGGGTCTAGAATACCGCAGACAGGATGGGGGCACACCGTTTGACACGACTAAACAGCCCATCTACGCTTACAACACGCACCTGGTTCGCGCACGATGAGCCAGCTTTTCAAAGAAACAGAGGGGGGGGGGTCTCGCATCGCATCTGGGTGGAAATTATACGCAGTTCCCACTCCGAACGCTCCTTCGCAGCCTGGCTCTCTCTCCTGGTAGGATCGAGTTATTCCGCCAGTTGACGTTTCCCTCCCTGCGTGTTGTTTCGTTTTGCACTGGAATGTTGAAGTCCCATCCCAACAGTACGTCTCACTCTGGGTCTGCCCTGTCTAGCATCCCAAGGCGCAATACAATGACGCTTCCTTCTGAATTACTGATTTGCCTTTACAATTTCACACTATCCTCAGGAATGACCTAACTGGATCCGCCATATCCCCTCGCAAAGTAGTCTTTTCTCCTAAAATATTTATTTGAAAGTGGGATTTCCTGAACTTCCAGTTGACTATTGAATTATGAGGAAATTTTTACCGTTTTGTTCTTAACTACCCGTTCTTTCCAAAACTTTCAATATGGAATGCGTGGATATCATTATCATCGCAAGTCTCGTGTGTGAAAGGGTGAGTCTCCGGCAGGCGTAAGAAACTACGCCAATTCCAAATCTTACTCTAAATCTGGTCGCTCGCGCAGACCATTACTTTTTACATTGTCTCTGTTTGACCAACTCACTTTGTGTTAAATTTGTTCGAACTGTGCCTTCTGGGTGTGGACGCAGGGTCAGATATGGTTATGTAGTCGCGCCTGGGCATCCAGAAAAGAAAAATCAGGTCAGACTGTTCGTACGCGAGAGTAGAGTCCACACACAATGCCAGCAAATACCACACTGCCGAAGGATGTATCGCACGACTCGGTTGGTGAGGAACCCTGTGGTAGCTACGCCATCACAGCTGCCTCTGAGTCAAACGATGACAACGGAAATTGGCGAAATTCTGAACGTGCGTGTAAAAATAAACGTAGGAGCTCTCTTCCAAACAGGCATCTCTACCGAAAACGAAACATCATCATAAAGGGAGCTCCTGAGTCCAATTCTCCGACTGCAAAAGAAAGAATCGAACACGATCTCAACCTCTTTCAAACATATTCAAATGCCGTCCTTCAGGACGGAGAATGTGTTACCGTGCACAAAGCTTTCCGTCCAGGAAACGCAGATGCGTCGCGTGCATTACCAAAGCCTCTTAAAATTATACTTGCAAATGAAGCCCAGGCCTCGAATCTCTTAGAAGGGAGGATGGCCCTTCGTCATTCGCATAAGGAAGTGTTTTTTCAGCCGGATTAGGAACCGACAGAAAGACACAAGATGAGGGAGCTCTGGACAGAACTGAAAAGAAGGACAGAAGAGGGGGAGAAGGGGTTGAAAATAAAGGAAGGCAAGATAATACAGATCAAACGATCGTTCCTGTGGCTAACCCCCTTTGTAATCAGGGCCAGTTCCCCCGAGAAGACGTGTGGCGGCTAGCCATCCTGACTGGCCCGGCGTCATTGTTCAAGACTTCGCTGTCTCAAGGTTACTCACCCCTTGCAGCGAGCCGTCCCAGACGAGCTGACCTGAAGTCACACGACCAACAGCTCGGGCATACCTGCGTCCGCGCAGTCGCAGCTGCCCATGTGGCCACTTGAACGCGCCACCCCCTGCAACCAGCAAAACGAGCCACTGGGACTCCACCCCTCGGCAAATGCAACACGCACGCTGACTGGCCGCCACTTGAGCTTGGCCCACGAGCCTACAAAAGCGGCTGCCACAACTATCTCACGGACTCTCA